AATAGTTCATGATCATATTCTTAGAAGTATTATCCTGAGAAAGACCGTAACAAACCTCCTCCATCACTAGCTGTTTTTGTGTCCTTCTTTTTCTCGTCTCCTCTGACTGAAGCTCCAGATCTGCTCAGATCTTTGTCCACTTGTGTTTCTTCACCTTCATCCTCACACGTGTCACAGATGAGAAATTCTATACATTCTTTCTTGAGTATCTCTTCTGTCTTTCTGAACAACTCAAAGCGCCATCCTGTGCTTACTGTATTAAACTTCAGATGTCCTCCTCCACACTCCTTTATTAAATCATGAATAGTGTTATTCCTAGAAGCGAATATTGATCCGCGTGGCTCTTCATCAGTAGTCAGCACTATAGTGTGTTTCATGGCCTGGTAACTGAAGAGGTTCAGCACATATTTCACGCTGTGTCTGTCGTTCTCACTGAAGTTCTTATTCTGCAGTACGAGTACAAACACATGAGGTCCTGGAGCAGACAGAGACACACAGTCTCTCACTCCATCTATTATCACTCCCTGTGGGAAATTTGTCTGGAGCAGGTGAGGATTGAAGACTGTGATCTTTCTCCCCTCCACCTCTCCACTGATTCTGTCACTGTGCTGCCATGAATAATATGGAGCTTCACTGTCAAATGTTACTCTACCAAATATAGTGTTTGCCACCCGTCTGTTTTCTGATCCATTCTTTCCTATCAGCACAATCCTCAGATCACTCACTGAAAAAGAGCACAAAATGCAATAAAAAAACTGCGCAATCATCACTTTTTTTTACAATTTCATATAAAATATTCTACAGAACAAACAGATTTAACACCAGCAGTTGTGTTAAAATATCAAGTAACCCTTTCACAAGCTTCAGAAACATCTATGAAAGATATACATTCGTTTAATCCTAAAGAGTTATCATCAATAATTACACTGACTTACCATTGGGAAGATCATGTTTGGACTTTTATGCATTTTGTTAACTAATAATAATAGAACGGCAGCTGCATAGATCCCCGTGAGCAGCAGGGAGTCACTAACACTGGTTCAGTACAGTAACCAGTGCAGTTGGCTATCTATTATTTCTCTGTAAGCTTTTTTAAAATCTACTTAGGGCCCCCAAAATACTAGTCCTCAGTTAACAGACTGATCTCACAGGAAATCACCAACAATCCTCAGATGTTTTCTTGTGTCTGAATGACACAAAACACAGAAACAGCTTCAACTGCAGCATGCAGAGATCATGTTTTGCTCTACTGTATCAAAAGTACTGTCTGACGTCACTGATGTGACGTATGAATAAGTGCAGAAGAGATCTCGGCTATGACAGACTGCATGGGTTCAGGAGACCTGCGGTTCAGACCCAGATCTGTATGGACAAGTTTCATTTTTGGAGAATCAGTGTCTACCTTCATTTTATGAAAATGAGCATCTTTCATTAAAAACAAATAAACACAGTGCACTCTAAAAATTGAGGCTATAGTAGTTTACTTGTCACGAACGAGACTCCCGCTGTGCCTCCTGCTCACCACCAGA